TGGGGGACCCCCAAGCAGGGCCTGTCTGACTCTGCTCATGGAAGTCAGGGAAGCCCCACTGGAAAGGTGACCTTGAATTCGGCCAAGAAGGGTGACAGGAATTCACTGGGTGGGCGTGTTGGGAAGGGACCTCCAGGTGGGAGAGACAACATAGGCAAAGATGCAGAGGCCACACAGCTGGAAAGTGGGGTGGATTGGGGGCAGAGCCTGAGGTGAGAAGTGAGGATCCCCCAGTAGGAGCTGGTGGTCTCTTCTCCATGGCAAGTTCTTGGTCTCCTCCTCTTTGGCACCCCCACCCCTGTCTTCATTTTCTCCTGAGCAATGGGGAGGGATACAGAAAGCAGCCTCCTCTACTTCCTGTTGCTTTGAGGGTAAAAACACAACTTCAACCTAGTCTGACCCCTCCTCTCTCCACCCTCAACTACCATCCCATCTGCACATCCTTCCACCCCAGTCATGAGAGCCTTCTTAAAGAACCTGGAATTGGCCTTGCTGCCTCCCACCTCAGGGCCTTTGCATGTGTTGTCACTTCTGCCAAGAACACACGGCTCTTTCTGCCTAGTTAACATCTAGCAGATTGCAAGTGGGGTAGGTAATTCTGGTGGTAGAGGGATCCATGCTGGTTGGAGGGGATGTAAGCCTCTGTAAAGGTACCACTCGGCCTCATCCGCTTGTCCTGGGCAAAACCAGGACTCATCCTCTCAAGCTTTCTCAACCCTTTTGCATCAGTCTCAGAGGCCACTTTGTCAAGAAACAACCTCAAAGATTGTCCTTACGGTGCCCTTTTGTGGGACATGCACTGTGATGTGTGATGCCAAGGGGCTGCTCCCCACCCTGCTTCTCTCTGCCTGCAGCTGGGCCCCTCTGGATGTCCAGTGAGGCAGTGAGGCCAGAAGGCCTTCCTGACTCTGAGCTGGGAAGAGCTGAGATCAGCCAGGAGGATCCTACTCCCCTGCCTTGGCCATGGGTCCTGAGCAGCACGTCTTCAAAGCCTCCTTGGGGACAGCCCACAGTGCTGGGTCTTCTGCACTCTTGTCCCCACAGTGCCAAGCACAGCACTGCCCACGCCACATGGTCTTAGACAGACCTCAGAGCAGACATTGCCTGTGCTCTCAAGGTCATAGCAGAGCATGGGAAGAAACCACTGTTAGGAAATCCAAGCCCTGTTCTGAGGGTCCCTGGAGAGCTCAGTGCTTTGAGGAAGCCATGGGCGAATCCTTTGGTGAAGCGCCTCACACATTTCTTCTGTAAAGAGCCCTTACCCCACAGTCGTGGTCTCTTGTCTCAGTCTCTGTCTCTACATATATACAATACACATAAATATATACCTCCACATATATGTGTGTGTGCATGTGTGTAGAGGGACATCTACTTGTATGCATTATAAACATGTGTACACTTGCCTATATACATTGCATACATGTAATGAGTTCATATCATTATTCATGATTTCTATGTTTAAAAATTGTGCTGCCTGCTAAAATTGATTTGTAACCCCAAACTCCACATTGACAACACACGCAAAGCAGTAAACAATCCAGTTCCGGATGCACATATTTCCAGCTGACGTCAAACAAGACAAGGTTCACCCTTGTTTCCAATCTCATACTGTAAGTGGGGTCTTTTTGTACTCAATTTAATACCACATTCTGGCATTTTTATACTGTTTGTTTGGGGATTCTGCTACTTAAAATAACTCCAAACAAACTGGATGTGGTGCCATATGCCTATAGTCTCAGCACTCTGGGAGGCTGAAGCAGGAAGGCCATGAGTTTGAGCCCAGCCTGGGCAACATAGCAACTTAGCAAGATTCTGTCTCAAAATAAAATGATCTTTTTAAATAAATGGCTGGGATGTGGCACAATCCAAAAGCCCCGGGTTCAATCCCTAGTACTGAAAAAATAAAATGGTACCAAACATAGTGCTGAAGAGCTGCCCACTGTCCCTAAGCACAAGAGGGCTGACTATGTCTTACAGAGGAACGCTCTATGTTAGGTAAAGTTGCTCAGGCAACAATGTACATTAGATAACTGATACTTCAACAGAAAGGCCCATTGACCTGGGTTACTGTGTTGATCAGTGCACTTTCATGAAACTGCCAGACTCTCATCCAGTGCAGCTGTATCATGTCACGTTCCCACCAGCAAGGTGTGGATGATCTGCTTCTGCACATCCGCACCAGTGTTTGCTGTATTATTATATTTTCCTTTTAGTCATTCTAATGTGTGTGTGGTGATATCTCATTGCAGGCTTTCTCTAATGGCTGGAGATGTTCAGTACCTTTTCATGTGCTCATTCTCCATCTGTGCACGCTCATTAGTAAAGTGTCCTTTTTGTTGTGATAATACACAGAGACCAACCAAGTGAGGACAGCAAAAGGCTGTTTTATTCTGAGCTTGCTACCGCAAAGGAAGCAGTCACCAACACTTGCATGTTGACAAAGACTCAAGCGCAGGCCAAAGAATAAGAAATGTTTATGGCAAGAAAAAACCAAGGCTTCAGATATGCCCTGATAGGAGGTTGCTGGCCTGAGGAAGCTTCAGGATAACTGGAAGCAAAGCTTCCTCTGTGACGGGTAGGCAGAGCATGTTTGCCTTTCCTGGTTGGTCTAAAAATAAAGTGAGTACAGAAATTGGGAAAGCTGTCTGTTACTAGTCAAGTCCCAGCCCTTTTGGGGAGAATGCTGCAGAAGTTATTGCTTAACCTCCTGGACTGTCACTGGAGATACCAATTTAGCTACTTGAAAGTCTGTCATCTTGAGTGCCTTACTGTAGGTTTTCTGGGATGATTGCTACAGATTGTAGGCCAAAGTTCCATTTTTTCATATGGTCTGGCCACTGTCCAGTTATATATCCAGCCTCGCAGTGTCTTCTGCCCATTTTTCAACTGGATTGTATTTCACTGTTGAGTTTTGAGAATTCTCTACATACTCTAGATACAAACACTTTGTCAGATATTTGTTTTGCAATTATTTCCTACCAATAGGTAGCTTGTCTTTTAATCCTTTTCATGGGGTCTATCATGGAGTAAAATATTTTCTTTTTTACTGTGAGGTTGTTCTGAGGCAAGTAGAGAATGGAGTTCAGCTGGAACGTGTGAATTCAGGATGCCTATTGGACAACCAGGTGAGGATATGGCATTTTTCTTTGTATGTACAACCCTGAGGTGTAGGAAAAGGTCTAAACCCAGAAATAAATTTGGGATCATCAGCATATGAATAGCTTGCAAAGGCCACAAAGTCTGGTGAAGCTCTCAAGAGAGTAAGGGGCGATCAGAGGAAAGTACTAAGGACAAGGCACCGTGACAGCACAAGATTTAAAGGTGGAAGAGCCAAGAAAGACCCAGCAGAGGAAAAGGGGAGGAGCTACCAGGAAGGTAGGAGGAAAACCAGGAGCAGATGGGGTCCAGGGAGTATAGACCAGAGAGGAAGGAAGGAGTGATGGGTTGAACAAGATGACACTTGAGACTGATGACTGAATATGACATAGAAGTTGCTTGTCACCTTCACAAGAGCAGTGTGGAATGGAGAGATGAGGATGAAAGCCCAGTAGGAGCTGTATAAGGAAAAAGTGGAGAAGTGGGAGATGCTGAGGAAGGCAATGCTTTCAAGAGCTTTGACTGTAAAGGTGAAGCAAAGCAATGTGTCTGCAGCAGGAGAGAATTTTATTTTATTTTTGTGTTTTATTCTTTCTGGCTCTGGAGATAAATAGTGGCATGCTTGCACACTGACGTGAGTGGCCCCATGGAAAGCAGGATTTTGTTAATGCAGAGAGGAAGTGAAAGTTGCTAGGGTGATGCTCTTGAGCAGACAAGGAAGTATGGGACCCAATGTACAAATGGCTTTGAATAGAAACATATGAGTCTCAGACCCATGATGAATTTCCCCAAGGGTCTCTCAACAAAGGTGCATATCCTTCCAGATATTTATCTGTGCACAAACCAAGATGGATAGAAGACTTTTGCATCAAGCTGTTCGTATTTTTCAAACTTGTTTTCCCTATTCAAAAATATGTCATGGAGATCCTCCCGTGCAAGGGCATAGAGACCAAACTCAATCTTTTTAATGGCTGCTTAGTATTCAGTAGTCTGGATGCACCATTATTTATTTAACCAATCTCTTGTGGTTGGACATTTAGGTTGCCTCCAATGTGGTTTTTTTGGTTTTTATTTTTGGCCATTATAAATACTGCTATAGAGATCCTCCTTGCATAAATGCATATCCTTGAGCTTTTCAGAATCATCAACTTCTAAAAGAAGTAAAATTACTGGGTGAAAATATAGGTGCATTTCTAATTGTGATAGATGCTGCTCAAGTGTCCTCCACCAAGATTACTTCAAAGCACCACGTCACTAATGTGCAGAAGTGCAGCTCATTCAATAGTAGTTTGTTTAAAGTGGAGTTCAGATTTAAAGTGGTGTCAGAAGCACGACTAGTGGGCCACCACCCCCTCCTCTCCACACTGTAGAAATGTGCTCACTGCAGGAATTAGCTCATCTGGGTTGGTACACTGACCTGGATAGAGAAAGCACTGGGACAGAGAAAAGGGAGGAAGACAAGAAGAGCTGGAGAAAAAATTTGGGGGAGCTGCTGAGTGCCCTGGGCCAGGTGGCAGGAGTGAGCCTGGCTCAATGAACAGCTTGCTGTGGGGTTCTGGGCTCAGCTTTTCACTGCTCGGTTGCAACAACAAATGTGCCACTGTGCAGATCCAGCGAGACAATGAAAATATGAAAATGAGACAGGAAACTTTGGGGTAGAGACTGCAGGTTGCTCACTGACAGTTATCTTCCTCTGTTTTCTAATAGAACCTCTACTGAATTGAGGACAGTAATTTCCCTTCCTTAAAAAATTGCATATTCCACCCCTCTGCAGTAGTCATGTCACACGCTCCAGCAATGAGATAGAAGTGCATTATATTCCCCTGCCCTCTCTGTGGGTCACATGACCCAGCCTCTAGCCAATGAAATAGGAGCAGAAGTGGCTGCAGGGCAGTCTTGGAAAGATCTCTAGAATGACTAAAGCCTGTGGATTCTGGTGAGGACTAATGCTGTGCGTCCTGAGCTGGAACATGAGGTCCAGTGAAACACAAGCTACACAGTGTCCTCTGGGCAGTACACACACACTGAAGACACCAAGGCGAGACTGAGGGGGAGGCTGGACCCGATGGCATCTTGGAGCTCCTGAGCCACTGTGTTAGCCACTACCCAATATTTCACAGGTGAGAAAAATAAATGTCTAAATTGTTCTTGCCTCTATTGGTCAGGATTCTCAGTAGAATGTCATTCTAGGTCTTCTGCTAATGTACCTGACACTGGATCATGTCCCTGGATTTCTGTTTGTTCAAATGTTAAATTGAGGGACGAATAGTCTTTTTTTAAATACAACTTTTAGAAGACTTTAGATTTACAGAAATCCACCCCCTTCCCAGTTCTCCCTAATGTTAGATAACTAGGGTTCATTTGTTAAAAGAAACCCACATTGGCATATTACTACTCACTAAACTCCCCACTTTATTCAGTTTTCCCTGGTTTCTCCCCTAGTATATTTTTTTGGTTCCCAACTCTCATTAAAGATACCACATTATATTTAGTTTTCATGCCCCTTTACCTGTCTCTGGTCTGTGACAGCTTCTCAGTCTGTCTCTGTCCCCTGACCTTGACACTCCTGTGGAATGCTGGCCAGGTATATTGTGCCGAAGCCTCCCTGACATGGACCTACCTGATGCTTTCTCCATGATTAGACTGGGGTTATGATTGGAGGCAGAATCCCACAGAGGTGAAATGCCTGCTTCATCACATTCCTACCAGGGGACACACAACTTGTCTCTGGAAGTACTGATCTTCACCTTGGGTAAATTCCTGCCAAGTTTCTCCACTATAAATTTTCTCCCTGCCTCCTCCGGCCTTCCTGTGCTGTGTTTTCTGCCCAGTAAATCACTAAGAGTGACCCATCTTGCAAGGTCAGACTAAGAGTTCACCTCCACCTCCTGGATGAGTGGTACAAATTATTTGCAAGTTTTCTGTAAGGGAAATTCATCTCTTTCTTCCATTTATGTATTTATTCAATTATTTATGTGGTATATATGCATGTATTGTTATTTTACACTTTGGGTTATAGTTCAATACTTCATTATTTATTGTTGTTTAAATTGTTCCATCTGTAGGAACTCTTTCAGGCTCCTGTGTTCCTTTGTCTTGGTGTTGTCTTGCCTTCCTCTAGCAGGAGGCTAATTTGGGCAGATGAGCAACTGGCCAGGTTTGGGATGCAGAAAACATCACAGGGAATCACAACTGAAGCCTGAGCTGAGAGGAGTCTTAAAGACCTCCAGGGTTGTGTTTAGCTTTGTCACTGCCATAATCCCTGGGAGACAGATCTAATAACTACACACCTGCCTTGTGCCTGAGACCAAACCCCAGCAGAGATCTTTGCTCAGTGCCCAGTTCCCTGGGACATGGGTCCCAGCTCTGCTCCTGCTAGGGCCACACCTCTCCTCTTGCCCCACCTGGCCTTGGTCTTCCCCAGAAACAGGCTTGTGACAGGGATTTGAGGGTGGGTAATTTATGTGGATGGTGACCCAATTAAGTAGCTTCAGAAGGACTGGGGCAGCAGAGGTAGGGAAGGGAAGAGAGTGGTAAAAGATGCTCTCCTATGCATAGCAGCCTTTGACTGATGAGAATGCACTTTGGAGGTCCCACTTAGCGGTGAGGAAGCAGAGTGTTTACCTCCACATGCCAGTCTACGCTGCTGGGGCTGGCCCTGGGCATCACTACCAGGTGCCTAGCCTGCCTTGTGCTGGTTGGAGAGGCACAGGACACCTGCAGCAGGAAGCATGGGGGACACCAGAGCATACATAGCAACTCCTGCATGGCCTGATCATGCAGCCTAGGCCCTTCTGAGCCCAGAGCTACTCCAGGGACTCTGCTCCCTGTCACAGACCTGTGGCCTGAGCCCCATCAAGGACTGTCAGGACCTCCCCTTGTGACCTCCTCCCAGGCACCATGAGGGTGGAGCTGCTTCTGTCTTCAGAGCATACTTCCCTGCTCCTGTGGCCTGGCCCATCCTACCATCTTGCTTGTCACCAGATTCTGCAACCATTAGGTTCAGTTTCTCTTTCTCTGTGCCCAGAACCTCCCCCAAATTTGGTCTACCCACTTTGATGGGACCTTGTTTAAATCCCATGTTTCCAGATCTGGCCCAGCCCCATGGTCACCCACTTCTGGCTGCCCAGGGGACCCAAGGGACCCTCAGACCATCAGCAAGTACAGCTAGTGGCTGAAATCCAGGGTGCCCCAACATGGCCCCACCCCAGCTCAATAGGGCATCTACCCCCCACCTGAAGTCCATGGCCAGCAGCTGATCCAGCACCTGCCTGCCATGAGAGAACCAACCCACCCTCTCCCTCCCTTGTCCCAGTCCATGGAGATGTGGTTTCTATGACATCTAGGTACAGCTGCAGTCTCCTTTCCTAATCCCACCTCGTCTTGTTTACCCGGAATCACCCCATCAGTCCCCCTGAGTGAATGTCAGTGCTGGTCAATCAGAGCCCAAGGCTGTTGCCCAGTAGCACCAGGGATTATGCACAAAATCTGGCCTGCTCCTGGGCTGCAACAGACTTACCTCACAATAATTAGTTCACTACGTCTGAGGTGCGTCTTATTCCCCTTGAAGCTTTGCAGTAATTACAAGGTGGTATGTTATTAAAAATGATTTATGGAGGCTAAAAGCACTGGATGAAGATCTCAGTGGTGAGAATGCTGGGCTCAAGTCAGAGAATTTACTCAGACTCCGCTTGGATGTAAATCACAGGCTGTGGCTGCCCCAGCCCGAGCCCTGACACTGCGCTCACTCACCCGCAGACCTCTCAGCAGAGAAGAGGTGGAGCTCTCCCCTGCTCCCCAGGGAAACTGCAGAGCTGAGACTGGGTCCTGAGCAACCAGGGGCCTGAGCAGTGGAGGAGCTGCCACTTCTGAGCCTCTCTCCCTGACGGCCCAGCCTCCTCCTAGCCTATACTACCTCTCTTTTTCCCTTCCAGAACCTCAGAACGGCTGTTCCCTCTCTAATGTGCTGGCTTTAATGACCACATTTAAGGAGAGACCTTGTCCCCAAATGAGCACAAAGCCCTGCTCCTAATGTGGGAGGTCTCATTCTCCCTAGTGCATGGAAACCCTGCAAGAGCTCCGTTAGCCTCTGGCAAGGTGAGCAGCAAACCCCACATCTTCTGGCCCCTCAGGTGCGAAGGGTGTGCAGGGCCCTTAGTGGAAGGTACACAGCAGGTCAGAACATAGACCCTGATCCTGGCCTCCGACTCTGCCACCCCCTAGATGTGAGGCCTGAGTCACATTACCAGACCTCTTGGAATCTCGGCTTCCTCCCTTGTAAGCAATACTTACCTTCTCTGGAACCTGGCTTCTAGGGAGCAAAGTTCAATCACTTCAAAGCAGTGTGAAGCCACAGTCCACGGTGCATGCAGAAGGACGATCATGGGAAACTCCACAGCCTGCTGCTGTGCCCTCCATTGTACCAAGCTGTGACCTTTGGGCCCCACCCCGCCCCCAAACTGCCCCAAAGGCTCTGTGGCCTTGGGGTTTGGGGACCTTGGGCTCAGACCAAGGATCCTGGCAGGATTCCTTTCAGGTGTGTATTGTCTGCTCTGATTCAGATGACTCCAGACAGGTGGGGGCCCACTGGAAAAGTCACCTAATTGGGGTGGGAGAAAGTGCTGTCAGCGAAGCTGGAAGTAGGTCATTCGTGCCTAATTGGATGTGGGGAGCATCCCTGCGGGGCTCTCTTTACTGTCAGTTTTCTGGAGCTAGAAGATATCTTCCTCACAGAGTGCCAGGAAGGGGTGAGCCATAGGGATACATGGACTGGAAGGACTAACCTGCTGGGCTCTTCAGTTACCCCTGGGACTGAGGACAACCTGACAACGGGACAAGGTCGGTTTCCTCCCCTGTGACATCAGGGATGGCCTGGGTCACCTCAAAGACTCCCAGCCCAGGATGCACTCTCTCCTCTTTCCTCCACCCAAGGCCCTTTTCCTTTGCAGGGCAGCAGGGGAAGGGGGACTGTGCCCCAAACTGCACCCCACAGCAGAAAAAGGATGGAGTGGTGCTCTGCCCTAGGTCCCTCAGGGTCCAGTCCAGGCTTGGAACCTCCATGAGCACAGAAATTCAGACGTAAATGTTCCCTGCTCCCTCTGAGGTGACAGATGAGCCTGTGCCATGAGGATCAGAGCTTCTGCACCTCTGTCCTCACGAGCAGAAAATGACCTTGGCCTGGGAGGTGAGCTGAAGTGTGCATGAGGAAACTCAGTCTCAAAGAGGTGAAGCCATTTCATAAGGCTTACAGATAGGAAGGGGCAGAGTTGACATGGAATGCCAGCTCTTGGTGGCAGAACTTGGGCCTTGGCATGGCCTTCTGTCTGCCCCTGGATCCAGTAGCTTCACCAGGTCCTAGCCTGCTCTGTGCCCTCATGCTGAGCCTGGACTATGGGAGCAACTACCTATTATTTCCCAAAGCCTCTACCTTCTCCAGCACAGTTAAGCAAATCTGTTCCTCTTGTTTACGACAGCCCCCTTCCTTTGTAGCTGACCTGGGTGGTGACACAGTAACATGTCTGTGTTTTACTTAGTCTCTGCTGTGGCCTGGTATTTGGATTCTGGCCCTGCTTATTAAACCTCAGTAGCACATGTCCTGCTGCTTTAAAACCTGCAGCTCCTCAAAGCTTCCCAGGAGATTCAGGAACAAGGCCATCCCCCACCCCCAGCACCTCTGCCTGAGCTGGGCTGGCTTGTCAAATGGTATGAAACTCCAGTCTCACTGTTATGGCTTGTGTCTAGATGTCCCCCCCAAACCCTCATGGGGCCATAGGGGGCCTTTTTCAGAGGTGGCTGGATCTAGAGTATGTGATGCGGGGATCAAAGGTGTGTGTGTGATTACTAAATCAGTCCACTGATTGATTTGGCATAGTTCTGGCTAGGATTAAGGGTAGAAGTGCTACATCCACCCTAGGGCAGGTAGCCTTCATAGAATATAAGGGACAGAAAGAGGTCTAATGAGTTCTTGCTTGCCTGTTTGCCCTGGATATTTCTCCTCTGTGATGCCCTTCTGCCATGCCACCTTGCCTTGGAGCCAGCTGACTATGGACTGAAACCTCTACAAACTGTAAGCCAAATAAATCTTTCCTCCTTTAACTTTGGATGTCAAGTATTTTGTTCC